CCAGCTGTTTCATTTGGAAACAGTCTCCCCCTGCCGCTGGGTCCAGCCCTCAGGCCCACTTCCCTCCGCTCCTACCAGCATCAGCTGTCACCCCGCCCCCTTCAGATTCAGTTCCCATCTGCCCAGCGTTCTGGTGGACCATGTCGCTAATCCTCATGACACGCTCACTACTGTGGCCTTCTCTAGGCCGGGACCTGGCACAGACCAGCAGTCAGGCCCGTGTTCAGTCCCAGCTGTCTGGTCCCTCCCACCGGACACAGCTCCAGGAAGGACAAGAAAACAGGTTGAGCTGGAGGCCAGTGGCTGGGGCTCAGGAAGGAAGTGGGGAGCAGGTGGGCTGGTCAGGGGCAGTCTCGGGAGGCCCAGGCGCTGAAGGGAACAAGACTGCGGGTGAGATGAGGCCTGGTTCCCTCCTGCGGGGAGCTTGCTCTGTCCTGTCTCGGGAGCTAGGTAGGGAGCATCTTTTGGGGTGCCAGAAGAGGATGGGATCTACCAGAGAAACTGCCTTTTGCCAGCCGGCTCAGAGGCTGGGCATCGAGGCTCTGGGTCAGCCGGGGCTGCAGGTGAGTCACGGAGGCAGGGAAAGGTCAGGCCTGGTGCAGAACCTGCTGGGCCAGGCCAGGGTGCCGCCCTCCCCAGGGTGCGGGAGTGGCTGGGAACAGGGTGAGTGGACACGGGCCTTGCTGGACTGCAGCTCTCCTGCTCTTGCCAGACCCCCATTCCCTAGAGGCCCCCAGGAGGGCCCAGGTGGGTCTGCCCCAGGAGGTCAACTCCTTTCTCTCGCTCACAGCTACCTGGGGCTGCGCTGGGAGCTGGCTTCAAGGAGTGGGTGCCAGGCCTGGGACCCAGACAGGAAGCAGGATGGGGCCCTGCGGATTTTGGGAAGAGGGGAAGACTGAGGGGGGATCAAGGAGGGGAAAGAGTGGAAAGGACCTTGGCTGCCCCTCCCCCACCCCCATCCAGGGCCACTCACAGTTTCCTGAAGAGGAGGAGGAGCAGGCCCCAGGGCCCTTGCAGTCCCGCCGCTGCTGCTCAGGTGAGCTGCCTCCTGGCTTGGCTGTTTGCACAAGAGGCTGAGGAGGCCTGGGCTGTTACTCTCCTCCCTGTGGCCAATGCCTGGGCAGCAGGGGCGGCTCCGTCCAGCTCTGGCCTGTCCCCTCCCTACTCTGAGGCCCTGGGGCGGGGAGAGTGACCGCACCCTGAAATCCTTGCATCAAGACAGCCCCTCTCCCAGGGGGAGGAGTCTCAGAGGCCAGCCATCCCCCAGAGGGGGCCAGAGGGATAGAAACTGCCACCTACCTCTCTCCTCTGAAGTGAGCTTCCCCTCTCTGGTCTCCCTCACTGCCGGGACAGCAGCAGGGCCCGCCGGCCGCCTTCCCTGCCCCCACGCAGGGCAGGCACACACTCTGCCTTCCACGTGGACTGTCCTTGCCGAGGGTCGTGGGCCTGAAGCCGCCTGGCCAGGATGACCGAGCCGATGGCCCGGGGTGAGGTTGGGGTCAGGAGGTCTGGGCCAACATGCCCTGGGCACTTCCTGGCTTTGTGACCTTCCAACAGTCACAAAACCCCTGAACCGGTTTGTTCTTGGGGCTGGTGGGTAACTAGGGGTTCCTCACGGCGCCCCCCCCCCAGCCAGTGGGAGGACAGCCTTGGAGAGGAGCCGTGGGGCTGTCAGCCAAGCGGGGGGCCACTGTCTGCCCCCCATGCGTGTGGCCTGGTGTGCAGGGGTGGCCCATACCAGGAGCCCCTGTGGGGCTGGTGGAGGGGCTGACAGGGCTACAAGGCGCCCCTCTCTTCTGGGGGGTTCTGGGGGCGTCCCACTCTGCCAGTTGCCCTGTCCTCCACAGCACCCCTCTTCTTGTCCTGCGGTCCATCAACTGGATCCTCCCGTGGCCCCCACCCTCCCGACGACCCGTCAGGGAGCAGACCCTCCCCTCTGCGTCAGGACCTCCTTCAGCCCTTCCCCAGGGCCCCACATTACCTAGGGCCCTCTGCCACCCTCAGAGTCGCCCTCTCCCAGAGGTTGCCTTTTGCATAGACTCGGGGGTTCACCCTCCACCAGCACCCCTCTGGCCACAGTCGCCTCTTCCCTGGCGAAGCTCTGAGAATGTCTGCCTTCACCCTGGATCTGCCTTAGCTTCAGGGCTCCCACCCTCTGCTTTGCACCGCCCCCCAAGCTCCTAAGCGGCCCCATCTCAGTCCCAAGTTCAGTCTTTAATGGCCACTTTCTTCTGGACACTTCTCCTGGGCGCCCCGGTCAGTGCTGCTTTGCTTTTTCTCTAGTTCCTGGACCGTCTTCCTGTCCACTCCTCTCCTCCCTGTGACTGTCGCTCTAAAGCCGCAGCCCAGGGCTGTGTCACGGCTCCGGACCCACGTCCACAGCTTCTCTGCACCACGGTTCTGCCAGGCAGCGCCGAGGCCTGCTCCTGCTGGCACACTTTCACACGGGGTCCTGACCCTGCACTTGCCCACAGGCTGGTGCGCAGGGTGCACTGGCCGCCTGATCCCACAGCGCCCGCCCCCCCATGGGGGAGGCTCCCATCTCCCTATGTCCTGAAGCTCACAAAGCTCCTTGTTCTGGAAGCCACAGGGGTCTTTCCTCAGCTCCCCTTTCTTCTCTGCTGAGGACTTTCCAGGGGCTGCCGGAGTCCAAATTCCTGACAAGAACTACGAGGCCCCACGGGCCAGGCACCACCTGCTCGTGGGCCTGACAGCTCGCTCCTGACCTCCTGCTGCCATGGTGGAGGCGGGCTTCAGGGCCCTAAAGCTGGTGCACCACAGCCCCCTAGGGATAATCAACACAGGCTGGACCAGGGACCTGTCCAGGCAGGGAGCCCCCAGGGCTGGGCCAGACCTCAGGCACCTTTAGATCGAAAGCTCAGCTAGAGCTTGGCAGGTGTTCAGTCATGCTTAGAATGAGTGAGGAGGGAAGAGTAGGGGAGAAGCAGGCTCACCTTTCAGGAAATTCCAACTCGAAATCTGCCGCGGACAGCTAAGGGTGGGGCTTCCCCTTCCCCAGAGTTTATAGGGGTGCGGTATCTGCAAGCACCACACTGACCCCTGAGTAGAGCACCATCGCGAGGGCATGTGCCCTCCACAGGGCCAGAGAAGGTAAGCCACCTGCTAGGGTCACAAGGCGACCCGAGACAAGTGGGGCCAGGCAGAGCCAGCACCCCCATCTCAGGTGCGTGGGACAGGGGGCTCCGGCCCTCATCTCTTGTCCACACGCTCTGCACACACTTGGAGTCAGACCCTGTGCTACTGTGGGAGTTCAGACAGCAAGACCTGCACCCCACGTGGAGGGGCCAGGACTACACCTGCGTGAGGCAGAGACTATAGAATAGAGAATGTGGGAGTCTGGGCCACTGAACAAAAGGCATCTGCCATCTATCCCGGGGAAGCCGTCGGGTCCCCAGCCTGGGGCGCCAAGCACAAGGTCCCACTCACGTTGGGGGGTGGGGGTGTGTCCTGGTGGGATGCTGTTCTCCACTCTGGCCACAAGGGGGCGGGTCTTCCCCTGCAGAAACCTGAGCCAGGCGGTACAGACCTGGAGGAAAGGACCCCAGCCCACGCAGGTGGGACCTCTCTGCTTCCTCGTCGCTCCCGGTTGAAGCATCACAGCAGACCTAATCCATAGGTATTGTCCTGCGTTTACTTGCGAGCACACTGGGGCTGAGGGGATTAAGTGACTGGTCAGCAGCTGATCGGTGACCCAGGAGTCAAATTCGAGTGTCTTTGGCTCAAATCCTCTCTGCACCATAAAGCGGGAGCAGGTTGGGGAGTGGGACCCGGCAGCTAGAAGTCAGGAAGGCGCCTCCTGCCATCTCAGGTGGCCCTGGGGCCGGGCAGGCACCGATGTCTACTGTGACTACACCAAGTATAAAGAGAGAAATTGCAGACGGGCATCATCAGCTCACCCTCTCGAACCTCTTTGGGTTGAAGGACAAACACGGACTCTCAGGGAATGAACCGCCCATCACACACAGCTGGCGGCGGATGTCAGAAGGGGGCCCCCCTCCTCTGGGCCCTCTTCCCCCTACACACCGCTTCTCCCAGAAAAATGTCTCAGGTTCAAGATGTCAGGTTCAAGGTGGGCCCACTGGACTCTGAGCGTGTAGGCGCGTTTTAAACAGTGCTCTGTTTTTGGCCCCCCAAATTAACAGAATTGGATGCTAAAGGAAAAACAAACAAGAGAAAAACCCACCACCCTTCCTGAACTGGATGTCTTGATGAAACAAACCCACCAAAGTTAAAACATAAAAAGGAACTGAAATGCTGGAAGCGGACAGAAAGGGAAGCTGGCCTGCCGCTTTCGCATCCACCCTCTCCGAGGCCCCGCTGTGAGAAAGCCCAAGTGGCAGTCAGGCCCTCGCTCCACGCCAGCCCTCGCTGGGGGAGGCCGGGTGGAAGGAGCGAGGCGCACACCTGCTCCCCGCAGCTGGGGCAGCGCCCCGTAGTCAAGCTTACTAGCGCTTCTGCCGTCCACGAAGACTCCCACCGCCCGCCCCCCATGGTTTGAGTTCGGCTTCGCTGAGTCGCGCGCGAGGAGCCTCTGGGCGCCAGGGTTTGCAGACCACTGCGCTGCGGGTGGCCTGTGCACGGGGAGGCGTCCAGTCCGCGGACGCCGCGACGCTCGGCCGAGCGGTGCCTTGGCCGCCGCCCTTCGCCCGCCCTGGCTCCCCGAGGCCTACCTGCTCCGGGCGCTCCTCCCGCGGGTCGCACACGTCCTGGAGGGCCTCGTACAGGTTGTCCGAGTCGCTGGGCGCCAGGGGCCGCGGGCACACCCAGGAGCCCG